TAAGTTCCATTTTCATGCAGTTGCGTATTACAATCCATAAATGTCATTTCATGAACTTGCGTATTACAATCCATAAATGCGATTTTCTTAAGACAACAATAAGCACAGCGAGAATTATCGTCAAAATCGATTTTTTTGTTTTGCAAAATGTAAACTTGGTTTCACAGTTAAAGTCATCTTATTATTTTACTTTAATAGTGTCTGCAATAAAGATGATGTTGATAACTGTAAGACAGAAGAAAATGATACAGGAAGACGAAGATGAAAAAATAAACCCGAAGACGAAAGTAGACAGTACGTTTATGTTATTTTTATTCTCTTTCTTTGATTGGATTAGTTGAGAACAGTAATGTATAAATTGGAAAAATATTTTTACTGCATGTTTACGTATATAGTTATATCACAAACTTCGACATAGAAATGAAGATATATGTTTAAAACATTGTGTAGTCAAAAGCAAATCTCCCTCGATCAGTAGTAACAAAGCCAGCCGTTTTTTAACACTACAATTCAAATATGTCTGTGTTTAATCACTGGAAATACAATGAATGGAATTCTCCTCTGCCCTTAATCCTAAATATGACATAAAATGCTTGTATCTAGCTACTTTTCATTTTTGTTCAATTTTAATAATTATTTTTTCTTGACAATTTTAAAATTTTGTTAAAATCCTGCAAAATAAAAACTGTTATGCAATGCAATTGAGAAATAAAAGATGTTTACTGTATTTTCACAGGCTTATGATATCTAGGAGACTTTTTGGGGAACTCGAGAATTAATAATTAACAATTCGCCATGACATTTGCGATTTTCAAAACAATGTTTTTATTTCGTATTTAACTTTCCTTCCAGATAAAGGTTGGGTGACGCAGATGTTGAACCCCAAGAATATTTTTGCAACTCGCAAAGGAAAAGCCGCTGAATCCTTTGACTTTTGCCGTGGACTCAAGTTAAAGAACAAAAACGGTAACACTTCATTTTATGAATCATTTTTGACCATGATCTTTTTTACCAAAAATAATGCAGTTATACAATTTGCGTTTCATTGTCTAAATCGTTTTGAGGAAATGTACTTCATTGTTTGAGTAATTTAGTTTATGTTTCCATCGTCAAAAATGCCATTGGATAAAATAACAAACTTTCCTGGGTTTTTATTCTTGTAGATTTGTAAGAAATTACTTGAATTGTGACGATTAATATTATTTATCCAAAAACCATGACCAGCCGACAATTTGAAGAAATATAGTATAAACCAAATTCCGAAGAAGCAAGACATCTTGGGATTGCAAAATATGCATCAAAACAAAACGAGAAGTGAACTGTAAATTTTCGACTTTATTTCAAAGTCATCCTTACACAGAAAGATTCTGTCAAGATGTCTTGCTTTTTCGGAATTTGCTTTATACTATATTGTATAGCCACTTGTCCTTCTTAAAAACCTCGTGCTCTCCACTTCTCCACTCTTATGTCCACTGTTCTCTAAGTAATCATAGAACTGGACCGTTTGATCTTAAATTTATTTTGGACCAGTAGTGAAGCTTGCACGTTTCTTACTCCTACAATGCAAATTTTTTTGACTTATGCAATCATTGGAAAAACAATGAATGTAATTAACTTTCTCTAAAAAATGAATAATAATCATGCTGGTAAATTTGCATTGCAGTAGTAAAGGATCGGGATGGCTTTGCTACTATTTTTGGAAAAAATATGTAGAGAACAAAATTTCATGTATGAAAAAATATCCACGTAATTTTGTTTTCTGTATTTGCGATCTGTAGTCATGTAGTTATATTGTTTGTGTAAAGCTGGTTTTAATTTTTTACAACGCAACCTGCCTATAGGAACTGTTGGTGGTAAGGATGCGGTATTCAAGAACAAAACCATGTGTGTTGTGAATAGTGGCATAGCTTTCAATTCACCATTTCCTGTTCTACTGAGACGAGAAAGAAAAGTTGAATTAATTTTGTCGTTCGACTTCAGTCAAAGAGATAATGGAGACAAAGAACCTCCTTTTCATGTGAGTCACTTCACATTTATTTGCACGTTTTATTCTATTGATGGTTATTTCTATCAAATGAGTTGTTTAAATGCAGCACTAATTTTTATTTCTATTCACGTGCTGTCAACTGATTTTCGTGATTCTCGCATAAACAACGTTCAATCCTGCTTTCCGACGGTAAACACACGTGTCAAAAATACGAGATCAAATTAGAAAGTTTAGAGAATCAAATGGTCTGACATAGTATTGTATATGTAAAATAGTGGCAATTAAATAGAAAGAAGATGCTCTTGGGGGCATTTGTGAATCTTAATTTAGAAATCCAAAACGGCTAATTATAAAGGCAGTAGGTGTAAGAGTAAATAAAAACCATTTTCCGTCAAATCAAAAGGAAGCTTAGATATGACATGCAATATGCAGATATAAAGTAATAGAGGAAAATAAAAACATTTTTAACGTTGTCACGGATATTAAGCTTGCATTTTTCAGCAAGCTTAAGAAGACAAAGAGCGTGCCAAAAAATATATGATTGAAAACTTGTTCAGCGCATCTACAAGCGCCAATTTCAGAGTTTGCTCTGTCACAAATTACTTGACAATGAATTTGAGCATACGTAGTCAACTCCATCAACTCTCCATGTTCATGATTATGGCAACAATCAACTCGATGTACTACTAACGATTATGGAGTATTTAGATAGCTCAATCACAAGTATTCAGATAAATCATCTGCGCATGCGCAGTCTGCTTGAGTATGCGTACACAACTCAACAAATTCTCGAAGTTATTGGATATGGCAACGACCAACAGTATGAACTAGTACCGATTATGAAGTAATTAGCTCGCTCAGTCACAAAGTTTTAGATATATCATCAGCGCATGCGCATTATGCTTGAGCATGCTGCTAAAGTTCTTGGTCATGGCAACGACCAACTGCATGTACTAGCACCGACTTTGAAGTAAATAGCATGCTTAGTAACAATTTAATACGGAAATAATCTGCGCATGCGCTTGAGCCTGCGCCGTCTACTCGACTAATTGTTCATAGTCGTAGCAATGACTAATTATATGTACTTAAACTACATTTGTGGCAATTAGCTCCTTTAGTCGCAAATTATCGAAGAAATAATCTGGGCATGAGCAGTAGTGACTTTAACAATACCACAACATTCGTAGGCCTTTAAATTTATGTATATATATGTAAAGCTAAAACTTCATATAATAGATGTCAACTAGCAGTGGAAGCTGGGTGCGATATAGTATGCAGTGGCTTAGGGGCCCACACTTCTATGGCGACCGTACTCTCCCTCCGTACCCCGAGCAAAGCCTATCGCAGGTGATCTCGTGGTCTGATGGGCGAAGGTTGCTATTGCATCTCCCAAGTAGGATAGCGTGGAGGGGCCGAAATCTCTTACCGGAACGATAGCATGCGGCGTTCTAGTGCCTTACATATAAGAAGATATCGGTAAGCATGAACCGAAAACGGGGTGTTTTGCTTTTTAATTTTATCTTTTTGTTTATCTCATAAAAGAAACTAGAACATCCAAAGATACTGTAAAGTTTAAAAAAACTTCTGCCTCTTTGAATATACGTTTTCTACATGTTACCTTTTGCAATGTAACTTTCTCATAACTTTCTCGTGATGAACGAGAGCCTGCTTATACAATGTAACTCTCATGAACGAAAGCACTCACGTGCTTTATGGAAAAAGGATCATATATTTTTTAGTAATAGTTTTACAAAGATTTTTTACATAGAAAGTTTTTAAAAACATTTAATAAGCCAAGCCATCGTCTAAATTGAACCCTTATGTCATAAAATTTTATTCCATTTTGGAGAGTATATTTCTTTTTTAACGATTCAATCTAGAAAGTAACTTCAAATATCGAGTAAGTTTGCGATTCAACAGTACACTTTTCCGATTAAAAGGACTTCTTTTAATCGCGCAGAGACAGTCGTCCACTTTGTTACGTAGATGCATGTAGTATGTATTTCGTTGTAAGAACCACCCTATCAAAGATTATCTAGTTCCAATTTTAGGTGCATCGAGCGAAGAAAATTGCAAGTCATAGAATTTTTTATAGCTATAGTTTAAATTTCATTTTTACGTATATAACTTGTAAATGAATCTGAAAATCCAATTTTAGGGAGATTTCATCCATCAATAATAATAATATTGATAAGTGATTATAAGACAGCGACTCAACATGTAGTAAAACAGTAATTCAAATATTTGTATGAATTGCCTTTTTAGCGCCTTGTGTAGTTGGAATTCGTCCTGGATATTCTAAGTCACGTGGCCTGTAACAATCTTTACAAAAAGGTCATTTGCACGACAACATGCCATTATCCAAGCTTTCTTTCGATCGCTATGCTTTTTCCTAACCCAAAACAATTAATATTTACTTTTATACCTTCTGCCTTTATAAATAATCGTTCTGAATAACTATTATAAGATTCACGAATGCCCTAAGACTCAAAATTTTCTCCTGACGATTTTAGCCGCATATTTTTGCCATTATTCTATGCATAAACAATACTACGTTCGACTATTTGATTGTCCGAATTTTCTAATTTGATCTCATATTTTTGACATCTGTGTCTACCGTCGGAAAGATGGATTAAACAGGAATGATCCAATCTGTTGGGAGAAAGTTGCACCTAGTTTTAAAACCATGGCTATTACAAAAAGGTGCTATCTTTAACATGTAGAACCTATGCTTTTCCTTCTTTTATCCAGGAACTAGGCAAGATATCCAACTTTTATCCAGCAGAGATATGGGCAAGAGAAAATAAATATCCCTTTCCAAATATTAAGGATAATCCGGTGGTCAAAGATTCAGAGGTCAAAGATTGTGAAATTCGTGAATGTTATGTATTTGAAGATGAAAATGATCCGAACTGCCCAACAATTTTACATTTTCCAGCTGTAAACAACTCATTTCGAGAGTATCTTAGCCCAGGTGAATAAATGCTAAACATACGGATGTGCCTTTAAATGCAATTATCTCAAGTAAGGAAGTATCTTCCATGTATCACATGTGAAGGAAGTATCTTCCATGTGTCACACGTAAAGGAAGTATCTTCCATATGTCACCGAAAATTTACTATTAAAGTTGATTTCACCTTTCTTTCGAAATTTTATAATATTCATTTAAACATTTAAATATTCTTACAAATATACAAATGCTTGTTTTTTAGTTCCTTCAAACTTGTAGAAAATGATCTGATTGTTTAGTATAAAACTAAATAAAAAATTGACCAATCAGATTATCTGCCGTAAGTTTTGAAAATGCACACTACAAAAACGGACATTTGAATGTTTGTACATGTATTTGAATGCTTCAGTCATGTTGTCAAAAGCATGTTGAAATCGACGCTTTTATTAACTTAAACTAATTTTGAACCTTTTATGATTTGTACGACACAATGTTGATCCATCAAAACAATCGGTTTTTGAAGGTGTGAGAAAGAGAAAGATGACGACATAGAGTTTGCAAACTTTGACATTTTTGACGACCCCGATGATTCTTATTCCTCCTTCAAATTTGAATACAAGCCCAAAACTTTCGAAAGATTGCATGAACTAATGAAATACAATACGCTCGTGAGCATTGATCTGATCAAGGGAAAATAATCGATATTGTAAAGTACAGGCGAAAGCACAGAAAGTATGCTAAGAAACACTCATTAAAGGAAAAAAATGTTAACAATAGTTTTAGTTCCTTCACTTGTATACCAATATACCAAAATAATCCACATCTTATAAACCAACCTAACATTTAAACTATAATTTGTTAGTGCCCGTTTGTAGTGTTAGTAGATTAATTTGCTTTATTATATGTAATTCCACAGACTTACATTTGTATTACATAATAAGCGTGTATGTAACTGATGTTGTACTTACGTAGGAGTAAAGCTCATAAATAAAATGATCAAAAGTTCATAATAAGTAATATCTTACATTTACTTTTCTACCTCCAATGTCCTAGCTTTATATTCAGGCTGATTTCTAATGTAAGTACTTACGTAGGGATAAAGTTCACAAATAAATATAATCAAAAGTTCATAACAGGTTAATGTTTTACTTTTATTTTTCTACTTCCAATGTCCTATATCTTTATATACGAGCTGACCTCCTATGTCTTCTATACTAACCTACCTCAACTGTCTCGTCTTTAGACGAGGTTAACTTTAATTTAATTCTACTCTCCGTCCTTCACATGTCCTACTATCACCATGACCTACAGTGCCTTACTTCTATACTAACCTACCTCCACTGTCTCACCTTTAGATGAAGTAAACTTTAATTTAATTCTAATCTATCACTATGTAAATTCTATATATATCAATATGTAAACATGATGGCGTTCTTTAAAAGATAAAGAAAGAACATTATGGCGTGGATGCTTGGACCAACGACTGGGACATAGAGTAGACAAAAGGTAGACATAAAGGTAGACATAAATTTTTTCATGCCATGTAAACTATAAGCATTGTGTCTATACAATGACAATATACATAATAAATTTTTTGTTTGATAAAGTCTATGGACTTACACATTTCACAGTACACATGTTGGACCTTTTAATAGTTATCAAGAATATAATCATTTTTAAAAACACAGTCAAAGCAATCATATTTAAATATTTTTTATGATTTTGTAATAATCCAGCAGCATCTCATAAGCGGACACCACAGACAAAACACATCAATTCATGATCACAAGGGTGTCCTTTAAGGTAAGTTTGATCGCATTCATTGCAATCGAATATAAAAATGCTTTTAAAAATGTATATGCCTGTATGGAGTAAAGAATGTTATGAATTTTCTTCCTTGATGTTTCCCATCGTTACAAACATTTGCTGGCACGGATGAAACTATCAAACACAATAGTGGTCATTTTACGGGCGTGATTAACACTATCGTACTACGTCATTGCATTGAATATTCAATTTCATTACATATTATTAAGCTATGACATGATATCTTTGCACGAAATTTTAAAACATTCATGGGTAAAGAAATGGATAATTTTACTATCTTATTTACTTTTTTTAAATTTACTAAAAGGAAATGTCCGTGGGACTTCACTAAAGATATTTTTATGAAGGTTTTAGAAATGCTCCAAATATTTTTATATTCGGTGAGTATTATTTGTCACTCACATGTATGCATTACTTATTTAAAGCTTGATAACATGTGCTTGATGGTAAATGTTTTCACACGTCTAATTCTCGGAAACGTGGCAAGGTTGTAGACATTGAACTCATCATTTTCTTGAGGAAAATTTCCCTCTCTTTCATATTAAGTTTTCATGATTGGTAATCTTGCTAACTACTAAAAACGTAACAAAATTTAGTTGTGCTTTATAACTGTTTCCAATGTGTTAAAATCTGCTAGGATAACCCTACCATACTATCAAGAAGCTAAAATTTACAGATCATATATTCCTGCTGTAAAATCTTGAGATACCATGAAGTATTTCAGGTAACTTTATCTAGTAAAACCAAGATTTTCTTGCAGGTAAACTAAAATCCATTATTATACGTTATGTTTGAATGAAGATTCATTGCGATTATTAGGATATACGCCTTTTCTGAAAACAATTCTTGCACATATTTTTTCCTTATAAAAAGTAATTACAGACTTTGGGATAGCCAAAGGGCTCGCAGCCTGAATTCCTTTCCTTAGTAACGGTTTAATCCGTCTGCTGAAATTTGAGCTTAATTGTGTACGGTGAAAGAGGCTATTTTATTTTACTTGAGTTAATGACATGACCGAAAACTATTTATAGTAACTATTCAATTAATTTTGCTAATAACGGCAGATACAATTTCGACTATTTCTTTTTCAATAGTTTTTATATTTCATGCTTTCGTGCCATCGGAATTAGTAGGGACAGTAACTTGTTGAGAGAACGCTCAGGAGATGCTTAACGACTCGCTCTTGACTTACAGTTCTATAACGTTTTATTTTGATTTATCCATAAGATAATCGCAAACAGAAGATAATCGCAAATCTTTTCAGCCAGGAAGGAATCCTGTTATTCCACGACCAAAGTAATTGTGACTTTGGTTCGTTGTTTAGCTATGTCATTAATCAACGGTATTGCTTGAAAAATCAGAGACTTTCCAAACGAAGTCAGCACTTTTAAATAAACGTTTTGGCGAGAAAACATGCCTTGGCGCCTCAATTTATTCGGAATAAAAATTCCTTATTGCGCTAAGCCGAATCCCAGCAACAATCTGGAACAAAATCACAGTAAATAAATCCATATTCAGTTGTTTATCACAAAACCAAAAATAGCTAGGAAATGACAAAAAGCAATTTTAAAAAAACGTTAATGTTTGAGCCAATCGGATAAAAATGTCAAGCACACAGTATTTTCTACATAAGCTTTCAAAATTTCCACGATACATTTTACGAAATGCATCTTCGATTAGATTTAGGTTGTAAGTGTATTTTTTGAGATGATTCTACATCACCAGAATCTTTCGTCAGAGCTTATAAAATTTTATAAAATTTAACTCTCAGAAAAGCGATTTCCAGCTTTCAGTATATATGAAGGAATATAGGAAAATCTGTCCATGATCTGAACGGATAAAAATTCGCAAATTTTCGCCAGTTTTGCATTTTGTCCGTAAATACTACTTGTGTTTGCCAAGTCTTACCAAAATCAAATCAAAACAGTTTCATTCATTGTCATAATCATGGCATTGTTCCTTTGTAGCAATAGAAAGATGAAGCACGTCATTTTTTGCAATGAAAAGTAAGAAGAACAATAAAATACACTACAAAAAATTAATGCATCATCTTTCTTCCTGTGTGCAAGAAGTAGTATGCATGGAACATGATAATACAAGCAATGTTCAAAGAGAATACCAATCTGGTAAACAATCATTTGCGATTGGGTAGTATGATTTAATAATGTAGGATGTAACAGATACCAATGAGAGCATACACATCATTCATGAATACATAAAACTGTGTGCATTATACTCAGCTTCTTCCACAGCTGCTGCAATATGGCTGTGCTATTCACATACTGAAAGGGAAGTATCAGACAAACACAAAACAAATGCATTTTGAAAACATGTAAATGCCCCATCCTTATGTTTTTTATGAAGTAATGGATGGTGAGTATAATATTCAGCATTCTAAGAAATTCAATGCTGGTAAGGCAACATAGAGTGATAAACTTTCATCCCCTTCCATTGAAATGGAGCATGCATTGTACACACAGTTCCCATCAGCCAGTATACTAAACATAAAGAAGTATTTGCAATATTCAAAGAAAGAAAGTGATAACTACCAACCTTACATTTACTTTCAATCTACATAAAAATGATAAGTGCTCGGTGTATTTTATAAGCACATCTTTTGATAAATCAGAGAAAAGGTCATGAATAAGGTGTTTTCAGTGGAGCTGGTTGATGATGTTTGTATAAAAACCAAATAGTGAAAAATATTTGGTAGATCTCCTGCACAGTCGAGTGTCGAAACTATATAGGTAGTATATCATAGAACTTTGTTGTCACATAAAGACATAGTGAAACCATATGTATAAAATAACACCAATACCAATTACTAAAACATACTTCATAACATCTATTATCTGAGGTATATCATAGTTTGAAAACACTGTAAAACACACAATTAATCAATTCATCGCGATAAAGAAAATGAAAACGTTTAGAACGTTTTTAGCATTATTTCTCTGTACGAATAACAAACTGATGCTTTGAAAAATATCTTTTCTGCTTAAGTTGTCATTGAAAATCTTCCTACCTAGTTTAGCAAATCTTTTATCTTTTAGGCCTTTCCATTAATAACTGATGTATTATTCTGGAGCATAAGAGGGACCAGCAGTGTTGTGGTATAAAGGTCAATTTTGCTGATGGACATTGCACATTAGTTTTGGCCTTTTCTTCCACAAGTAAGCAGTTGTTTGCTTCTGCACTGATTACAACAGAATATGCAGATTATGTTGTAGTCCACCATAATTTCAATAAGTGTTACTCAATTACGCGTACTTTAAATAATTGCAGGAATTATTCCGTCCTAGCTATGTATAAATATTCACAGATTTGTATTACCAGGCTTGGAGTTTTAAGCTTTGCCAACATGGCATCTTTGTCAAATGCCAAATGTTCGGCACAATCAAAAGATTGTTGCCTGTACGAAAGCAAGAGAGTTAACAAGATAATTATCAAAATGTAACAGGAAGTTTTTCCTTTCGTCTTTTACATTGACGTAATATGAAAATATTCATACGTTTGGATAACTATATGTTAGCACATATAAATTCGACATTGCTGAGACACGAAGATTCGAGGTGTGGCTGAAGGAAAGTCGAACAGAGCATATCTTGTGAAAATTATAGCATAAAGTTTAGTTGAGGTTAAACTAAGTTGCCTTACTGAAGAAAAGAGTGCACAGATGTACGTAAGGTTCTCTTGATATTCTGCATTATAAAGTTAAAATTAATAGGGTTACAATGTCAGTTTAAATGTGTACAAACTTTTAGTTTTTGTTACGTATCCCAAACGAGCAAAGACGACGGAGGCTTAAATGGCTGGAAATGCTGACGGAGGATCGAGTAAACATCGTCTTCGTAAATAGAATAAAATAAAGATCAACTTTTTGTGAGCCATAAAATAAGTTTATAACGTAAACTCACATTATAACAAAAAATTATGTGGCGTCTATTAATAACAATGTTTTATAACAACGAAATGATTAATTTGTTCATCAAAGAAAGCCGTAATTGCAAACACTGCCTTCAACATCAAAACATACTGATGCTTTCCTGTTTTGTTTATGAAACGCAACATACTATTCTATGTAATTGTCAATTTATGAAATTATTTACCGAATTTTACCAATATTTTTAAAAAATAATATCCCTGACGCTAAAAAGACCTTATTCACCGTGGATAGTGAGTATAAAAAAACAGTCAGGGTCGGTCACTCCAACAACAACACATGAAATGGAGCAAAGTTTGTTTTGATCTTTTTTATTAGCAATATGAAGAAAAGACCTGGTAGCAAAGTTTTTCTGGAATG